AAAATACATATTTACTAAAACTTATTTTTTGCATGAAATTATCTTTGGAAAAACGAATTTTATAATTATGCGCATAAATCTTTCAATTCGCCTAAAAAAATCTCGAGATATGATGAAATATGCGAAAAGTAAAATTAACATTAAGGGGTTCAAACTTTGGATAGCTCTGCTGATCAAACTATAGGGACCATATTACCCAGCTTGTAGCTACCCCCTATATTTTGGTGATCAGAAATCCGAATCTGTAGAAAAAAAGTTATGTTTATTCATTTATATATATTTATTGATTTAAATCAGAGAAAAACAAACTCAATCCTATGTCCTGAGTCAATAAAATTAGTTACTATTCAAACTATACTTGCAGTTGAAGAAATATCAAGTATAAACTGACAAATAAACATTTTTTTAAAGTAAAAAAAATTCTTCAAAATAAATATAAAATAATTTTTAACAATTTGTTTAGTAATAACTCTTTTGTATCAATATAATCGAAATTTACTATTGTATAAAACTGAATTTATTTATTATGACTTATGAATAATTTGAAAGCGTGTTTGTTATTTTTATACTTCTGAAAAATAAACTGAAGTGTGTTTAAGTGTAAATTTCCTAAATATCCCGATTTGTTTTTGTTCACTATTATCTTAAGCTAAATATTTTAATTAGAAATCTGGTAAAAAAAAATATTGAAACAAATAAAAATGCCAGCGCATTTACTTTTTAAAATTGCATCACAGATTTAAGCACTTCTCTTTCTTTCGTATTTACTTTTTTTTCCTATTAAAAATACCATCGCTTAATCGTGTGTTACTTGGCATATATTAAAAGACAGCACCATACAGAAAAGTGCATTTGCTTCGAAATAAATAAATAAATAAAACATTGAAATGGTAGAAAAAGTTAGGCATAAAAAAAAAACCCTTGCTTCATTTTTTAAACTATATAATTTATCTAATTTTAATTTATTTTTCTCTTCATTCAATGTTAGTTTTTTTTTATTCTTTTGTTATTTATTTTCAAAGTAACGTACCCCTATTTAAAAAAGCGAAAAAATTGAGTGAAAAAAATTAAAACTCGGACCCGTAAAACTTAATTACAAATTAATATTTTTCTAATCCTCCGTTTCCAAGATTTTTTTTCCCTCCTCGAGTTTTATACGTTTTTTTTCCCTGGAATGTTTTTTTATGCCCCCAACGTTTCGCGTAGCTTTACGTATATTATGATTTGAGCAGAGTATCGCTTCAAACAAGGATAAATTAACCTGTAAAAGTTACAGATTGCGCAAGGCGCCCTTTATTTATGTTAGGCTATCCATTTATAAAAGGTAAAGTATTAGAAGGGAAGTTTTATCGGGAGTTTATACTTTCCTTAATTACTCCTTTTCAGATAGTCTCGTTTCAACCTCACTGATTACTTTATTATCTATCCCTTTAAATAACAACGTTAGTGTTGCAGGTCGCCGAAAAAAATATAGACTTCAAAAGTTGATAACTAATTTTGCTTGAAAAATGTTTTGCAGCGAAAAGTCAGGGTCTATGACTTGGGCTTTGTGTGCACTTTTAATCTTTATGGGTATTTTTTTTCCTGGCAAATTTCAAAGTTTTTTGGACATCGTTTTTTTTTTTTAGTGTTACTTTCTTTTAAATTTCATCAATTTCACTTCAGCAATAAATTATTACAACTTTCAGTTTTTTGTTTAATACCGCTTAGGAAAAAAAAACATTTTAAAGAGATAAATGAAGCTAAAAAATAGGTTTTTGATTATTAATTTGCTAAAGATGTCTTTTAATGTTTTTTTTTTTAAATTTAGCCTGCATTTTTTTTTAAAATTTTGATCTAAAATTATTAATCTTTCTGCACTTTTTAATAAAATTTTAAAATCTGAATATGTGTAGCACAAGTTTTCTTGTTAACCGGAGTTTTTTCACGAATTCTATAAAAAATAGAAACTGTATTTTTTTTTAAATTTAAAATTAATATCATGTCTTGTGCGTAGAAAAGAAAAACAATAAATTTATATCAAATAAAAACGCGAAATTATTTTTCATAATCTACTAGTATTATAAATTTAATATTTATAACATTTTTAAAAGAATTACACGAAATATTGCTATCATATAATTTTTTTAAGATAAATTACCATTGGAACTAATTAAATAAAATATTTATTCATTAGTAGCAGAATACCTTTTCATCGTAAAGGCTAAAATGAAAAGTCGTATCAATAAATCCCTAATCATAAATGCGCGGTCATGCTTGAAAACCAAAAACATGTACCGTAACAATTACTCAATTTTATATTCGTATTCATTTTTTGGCAATTTTCGCAAGGATTTCCAGGCAATTTCTCGTTATACTAAGCAAAAACGTGTTTAGAAATTTATCTCATCAAGATAAAGATTCACATGGGTCAAAGTCCTCCTATAAATTTTATTTTTTTAAAAATCTTAAAATAACATCCTACATTGTCCAAGATTACCGAAAAAGTCTTATAAATCCGATTTTACCCTATACAGCGATGTAGGATATGCAAACAAAACTCGATTGATAAGCATCTAAAATCTCCATTAACTACTGTGTACTTACATTTTATGATTAGAGCTGGTCACATATTTGATTAAACATTAAAATTATTTCAAGCAAAATCGACAATTCATGGTTTTTATGACGAGTTGTTTAAGTGCAAAAAGTGCTAATAGGGTGGTTTATGCATGATCCTGAACATCCCTGACGGTGATCCGATGACATAACATCGCAATTTTGATCCTCTGCAGAGAGAGGGCTCTCTCGCTTCGGTAGTCCGACGATTTACGGTTGAACAGTTTAACGAGTACCGATACCGCGCATTCTCGATCTCTCTCCAGTCTCATCAAAGTGGTCACCTACCCGCACACTGACAGCTGCCAGTGATGTTTGACTTTGGTGTTCGATACTGGAACTGCGTTTAACGATCAATCCACTGCGGGATTTAAAAGATAGATTTTATTATATTATTCAATTTTAGTCCAGTAAATGAAACAAAATATATTCTATTTTGGTAATAGTAATCTATTATTAGAATCTTTGTAATACTTGAGGTAAGTTATTGATTACGGTAGTTTTTTTAATAATTAAAGTTTATTAAAAAAATTCTAATTTGACAAAGAATCCACGATTCGATATTCATCTTTGAATTCTTACAATGCCAAGGATAAGAGAAACACAATACACAGAAGCGACCACGCCCGTGAACTTATTACAGCTCTCGCGATCAGCAATCAAAAGTACGGTGATCTTAATGCAGCTCTTCCGGTTTCTCACGAAACAGCAATGAATCAACTAATGGTATCTGTTTATCGAATTTTGTTACAGATAAAATTCTGGTGGGGGAGTACTGTAGTGTGTCTACCACTACAAAAATTCAATTCCAATTCAATAGTATATAAGACACGTTAACTGGATTCTATGTTGGGGTACCTTTTCATGGATGATTATTCAGGGTGCGTAGCGTTTTTAAAAAGTGCTTAAAGGTGATTATTTTCGATTTTCGTTTTTTAAAAGCCCCTAAAGGTGCTTTTTTTCATAAGGTATTTTTAAAAAGTGCTTAACTTTCCCTTTTCCAAAATTAGACTTTTACCATGTTAATTTTCTCCACGAATTATACAAAAAGACATTGTTCTATTTAAAAATTTTACAATTAATGCAACCTCAATCTATTTCAGCGTACCATCGGTCCGTAACGTATGAAAACACCATTCGTTTTACATGATTCAAAATTTCATGATTTTTGACAACTGTTAAAAACTGCGAAAAAAAAATTTTTTTTTTGACGTGACGGTTAGAACCGTCAATAGTCAAAATCTTGCCAACCCTTCCTAATTATAATTTTTTCTAAAGTGCTTTAAAATATTTTTGAGTGCTTGAAAAGTATTTAAAAGGTGCTTTTTTTTGTTGAAAAATTTGTCTACGCACCCTGTTATTGACATAGATATGTGACTCTCCCCACAGATCCATAAATGCTCTTATAATGTTGTTTGATCTTATTTTATTTCTATAGAAAATATCTCTTATATTTTTAATACCTGATTTTGGTGTTTAAATCCACAAAATATGTTGACATTTATCACCCCCAAAACACTGTCTTGAAATATTTAAGTAAACAGATGGTGAAAGAAATTAAGAAGGGATAAAATTGCCAACACTTTCCTTTTGATCAGAGAACTAAAAACGGGGGGAAATGTAGGGAAAAAAATATATATCTTTACTCTTTCGGCAGTCCTTGCCTGTAATTGAATTTGTGAAATATAATGCTTCGACATATGTCAACTTGGGCTCTGCATCTTGCAGAGCGCCACTCGCACGACAGTCAATTCCTATTCTAGAAATAGCTCTTTTTTTTCCTATTTCATCCCCACTTTGCTATTTGACTTTCTTTTCAATTTTTACTCCGTCGCAAAACTAATCAAGATGCGTGGAAAAAAGATGCTTTTTTCTTTCGATGCGTATTAGAACCTACTAAAAGCTTCTAAATTTATTCGAAAATTCGAATGAATTAGCCTGCTGAATGTACGATTAAATGGGATTTTGGAGAAATCATTTTAATTGATTTTAAGCTATAAATGAAGTTAAGCATTCTTTTTTGGATGTTGATTTCTAAGCTGATGTCTTTAAGACATTTGTGATTTTTTTTTCTTTTTATGAAATTGGAAAACTTGAAAAATGTTATTTACCAAAATGTTCCTTTTGCGTTGAAAATATGCTTTTGTATATTCTTGTTTAATTTTGATTGCTTGACATTTAATATAAAGTTGTTTTTTTTTGTTAAGTAGAAAAAAATATTTTTTTAGTATCTTTAAGACATTTAATTATATACTTTGTCGATTAGCCTCATTCTGTATAGATATGAATTTTGATAATATAATTGTAATAAATATGACAACAATTATCCAATTCTCCCTTCATAAAATTTGTCATTTTATTAATTTGAAATTATTCCATTGATTTTTTTTTCTTAATTTCAGATACTCTCACTCAAGAACTAGAGCGAGAAAGAAATTCATTAGCAGAAAGTGAAAATAATGCTCATGGTAAATAATATTCAATATTGTTTTTTTTTTTTTTCTTGTACAATAACTGAGAGTTTTTGCATTTATTTTTGAGTATGTAATTCACAAATGTCCATATTTTCAAAGGATTGGCTTGATACAAATTTCTTTATCTGAATCACTTTTTTAAATGGAAATAAGTATTTAAAAAATTAGGTTTTGTTAGGTTCAAAAGCATCCGAAGCTTTTCAATTTTTTTTGAAAAAAAAATTGAATTTACAATGCATAGTTTTTTATTTCCAAATTCCGGTTTTCATAAAATATTAAATTTTATCATTAATTTAGACTGGACGATTATCTCACGTATTTCTTTAAGAAAATAGAAATAAATATATATGTGCCCATACTACATTACTAAAAAATAATTACCTAATCACTTCTGGTTATGTCAGTAACTAATCTGCATACGGTAATTTTAAAAAAAGAAATGTTTAGAAACATATGAATTTCAAAAACCTTTGATAAAAATCATTCAAACCAAAGTCACCATGTTAGTTAAAAAGGAAAAAAAATAACTCAAATAAAAAAGAAAGTATAAATTCAAGTTTTCCCACAAAGGAAAACAAAAAAGTGAAATTTGAATTCCTTATTCGAATTAAAGTTTTCATTTTTAACTATATATCTATTGTCCCGCTGAAAAAATGGACTTTAAAAACAGATAAGTAGTTTAAATAAAGTATAGTCTCTATATCTGGAACTTCGATGTCTCAAAAACCTTGTTACGTTCAAATAATATTTTTCCCGTTGGCATTAAATATCCACCTAATATTAATTTGAATTCTTATATCGAAGACTTTTTTCTCAAAACCTTGTTATACCGAATTTTTTTCGAAATAGAGAATAAATTTTTTTGAAAAAAATCAAAATTTAAGTTTTTTGTAAACCAATTCTTTTCTATTTAATGCAAAATTATTTTTGTCTTACTTTTAAAAATAAAATGTTCATTACTGTATTTAGACTTAATCAACTATTATTACATATATATTTGTTAGTAATTATTCTTATATTTCTTACTCTACTTTTTAGAGCAATATTTTAAAATATATTTTTCTACTTTTTAGATCAAATTTAGTTCTTGAACTTGTTATCACGAAAACTCGCTATCTCGAAATTTTTTTAGATTTCTTTCAATTTTGAGATATCAAGAGTATACTGTATTTGATAAAACTTTTAAATTTTTTTAAAAAATTTGCTAGTTTGGTATTGGATTTTTCAACCTGGGTGAACAAATCAATGAATAATTTTCCAATTTTGAATGTTTTTTATAAGTACAGATAATGCAAATGTTGGAGGAGCTTTTAAAATATTATAAAATCAGATCACAAACGGTTTTTATTTTTTTGAAATTACGGCTTATTAATATTGACATTTTGTGCCTTATTTCGTAATTAGGGTAGAGGAAACTGTCAAAGCTTACGAGGTCACAAAGGTGTTTGAGATCAGAATGTTCAATTTTTTAGGAAAAAAATGTGCATTGTTACTAAATTTATTTGGCACTAAAATTTTGTCGATACCTCATAAACTTTCAGAATTATTATTTCTTTCTCTGAAGCATATATATTAACTGAATCCAACCAATCCACAAACTTTTATATTCATTTTTCTCAAAATCTGTTGAGCTTCTGAGCAAGACGTTTGCAGTTCTATTGCACCCTTGAAATTTGGTACATATTTAAATAAGTTTATTTGAGAGCACTGAGGTAACTTAAGTAATGTTTAAATTATAGATGTATTTGCTAATTTTGAGATTATATAATTATATGATTAAATTATAATAGGTTTCTTTGAGAATATTGTGATTACTTAATTTTATATGCTTAAATTATAGGTTTATTGAGCAAGGTAATTTAAGAAATCGAGTTGTTAAAACTATTTTTAGATTACCGAAAAAAAATTGTTTTTTTAAAGAAATAATTAAATTTTTGAAGTTTAGGAAGTAACAGAAATATTTAATTCCTCAAAATATTCATGAGTTTTATTTAATGACAAGAGTATATATCTGCTTTGCTGTTGCTAGTAGTTTTAAATATTTTTAACCCTTTTTTTAAGAAAAGTATCTATATTTTGAAACGTTTTCAACCTCTACAAAATAATTAATTTTGAGAAATTTTAAAAATTGTGAACATGTTTATGCACCTCATAATTTATTCATATTTTTAAAAAAAAATCGGTATTTAAATACTATTTTTAAACGAACTGTGTCTTGTAAAAAATAATCAAATATTTTGTTTTACATAAACTTCAACTTATCCTAGACCCCTTACTGTCCTATTTAGCTGTTATAATGTCACGAGTTCATAAAAAAAAAGAAAAAGAAATCATAAAGCTCAAGCATATAATGCAAAATAACGCTAAAAAGCATTATTTTATATTTTAACAAAAGAACAATTGAAAAACAGCCTTAAGGATACTAGCAATCAAACATTGTGGTACTTAGAAGCATTACTTAATGCAAATTTGTTTAATTGATTTAATTTTTATTTTAAGTTTCCTTTTTAAGGATATGTAATTGGGAAATAATGATAGGATATGAAATAGATTTTTATGTAATAGATTTAAGATACTTTTTAATAAATATAATAAGAATATTTAAGTGAAATAATTCGAATTAATCGATGCATTTTTCTCAAATGCAATTTATAATTTGACTATNTAAACTTAATCTTAATTACCTTTTTGTTTACCATGTTTTCTCTCTCTCTATATATATATATATATATATATGATCGAAATCAAGAGAATGTCGACTTTCACCGGTGAATGTTAACAATCACATAGTCACTTTGGTGAATGTCGGAAATATTTGTTATATCCGATTTGATACTAATTTATTTGTTGATATTATTATATTTATTCGTTATTTAAATATCTCCTGAGGAGAGATTAGGAGAAACATCAGTGTAGGGTACATCGGGCAAATGTATATAGGGCAGAGGCACTTAACTAGACCTAGTATATATTTCAGACTTTCACCAAATGGACTATGTATTTTGACCACACTTTTTTTTTTATCAGTGCTTTTTCAGGAAACACATATTTCAAACCTTAGTTTTTAAAATGTCATGTTTTGTGTCAGGTGATAACATTATTTTTTTCTTATTTTATAATTTCCTTCTTTCAAATTGCTCAACAAGTCTATTTAATTTAAGGCATTGAATTATATCAATTAAAAGAAGACGCGAAAAAAACGCTTTAAAAAAAAAGTAGGAAAAAAGTGTGAAATCTGATGTTCTCGCTTGCAAGGCGGATAAAAAACGGTACACAGACCGTAAAATAAAAATGCCAGTAAAAAGAAGGGAGTAGAACAAAAACAATCCTCTGAATCTAATGCATATTTAATGATTGTAATTCTATCTTCTCTGCTAATACGTCCCCAGGTAAATAGTTTAAATAAGGATTTAGTTATACAATTTTTTTTCCTTTTATTTCCTTGGTATCATATACGCTCAAGCTAATGAAAAGGGTACATTAATTAGAATTGGAAATCTATTTTTTATTCTATTATACATATGCTTGCATGGACAAAATAAATCTGTTTAATTTTTTCTGGAATTGCAGCTAATATTGTATTCCCAAACAAAGAAAAATTGCATTTTTATGCTAGTGAAATGCAATACGCAGTGTCAATATTGTGAAAAAAATACGTGTAATCATACTTTGAGTTGAATAATATTTGTTTTATGAATTCATGTCTTTACAAATATTTTTAAAAATAGATTTCAAAAGCGAAAGCCTATCAACACGAAGAAGAAAAACTGAATTATGATTTAATTTTCTTGTTTGAAATCGTACTTAAGATTTATGGAATTTCGTAGGAGGAAAATATTTACTCACTACATTTATTTCTGAAAAGGAAGATGTTTTGTGATTTGAAAAATTAAAAAAAAAAGAGAGTAATTTCTTTAAATGATTAAAAGTAATTGGAGAAGATTAGTTTTACTCTCTACGTAAGAGTTTTACTTCTATTTCATATAACTATTTATTACAAACAATTTCTATACTGTATTTACGTATTTTTAAAAGAGTTTTCTTATAAAACAAACGTTTCTAAAATGGCTAACACAATACATTCAAGAGCGTAGGCAAAATTTTTTCGAAGCTCTGTCGCCAAGGAAAATAAAAGAGCCAGAATTTAGGTGCCTTAAACCTAAAGCAAAACAATGATTTTAAACTATATATATCATCTTTTCATAACGAATTATCTAGGTCTTAGAACGGACAAATAACTGAAATATTTTAAAAGTCATTAAACTTTTTTTAAAAATCACCAATTTATCGACATTTTTTCACCTAGAAGAGAATTATTATAATCACTGCCTTATTCTCAGTTTTCACAAATCTTTATAAGCCCGGGTAATGCAGGTTAAATATTAAAAAATTAGACCACAAACGCTCTTTATTTTCACAAAACTCTGTCTTTTCTCCATATTGGCGTTTTTTGCCATTTTCAGAATAAGAATAGACAGTGCTGGTCAGCCAAATTGTTGCAATTATAAAGGCTCAATTAAGCCAATCGGAAACCTGCATTTTAACATTGCATTTTGCGATATGTAAAAGTACAGGCTTTTGATTGGCCAAATTTGTCCATCGTAATTGCGAAAATTTAGCTGAATTCTGTACTAGAAGGTTGTAGATTTACGAAATATAGATTTTTTTGTGTTCGTACGATAGATTAATGAAGAAGAATAGACAGTAACAGATAAGAATAGACAGTGCTGGGCAGCCAAATTTTTGCAATTATGAAGGCTCAATTAAGCCAATAGGAAACTCGTATTTTAACATTGCATTTTGCGATATGTAAAAGTACAGGCTTTTGATTGGCCAAATTTGTCCATCGTAATGGCGAAAATTTAGCTGAATTCTGCACTAGAAGGTTGTGGATTTATGAAATATAGATTTTTTTGTGTTCGTACGATAGATTGATGAAGAAGAATAGACAGTAACAGATAAGAATAGACAGTGCTGGGCAGCCAAATTTTTGC